AATAGATATGGCAAATTATTGTTTCTCTGATGCAAATCAGTATGTATGGAGATCAAAAGAAATACAGGAATATTCTGGAGGAGTCTTTCAGGAATTATTCTTGTCAAGGAAAATCATTATCATAATTAAGATAACATTATTAAATTATATTTAATACTATCCTATTCCACTACTTTAATCCTAGTGCTTTGACCATATTTGTTTACCTGTCTCAATCTTTTCTGTATGATTTTTGGGTCTTTCTTTTTCTCATTCTCTCTTGCTTCCTCTGCTCACCTATCTTCTCTCTTCTATGCGGCTATCTTTTCTCCTTTCTCTGACCTTTTCCCCTTTATTTCTCTCTAGTAAATTGCTTACAATTTTTAAGGGAAATTAAAAAAAACAATCCCTTTTACCATTGAAACAAGAAAAATAAAATACCTAGGAATAAACTTAACCAAGGAGGTAAAAGATCTGTTCTCAGAAGACTAGATGACATTAAAAAAGAAAAGAGGAAGATATAAAAAAGTGGAAACATATACCATGTTCATGGATTGGAAGAATTAACATCATTAAAATGTTCATACTACCCAAAGCAATCTATAGATTCAATGCACTCCCTATTAAAGTACCAACAGCACATTTCACAGATCTAGAACAAATACTCCAAAAGTTTATGTGGAACCATAAAACCCTGACTATCCACAGCAATCTTGAAAAAGAAGAACAAAAAATGGAAAAATGTCCTCAGGTGAGGATTAAAAAATAATAATAATGGGCAGAGGAACTAAATAGACACCTCTCCAAACAGGACATACAAATGGCCAAGAGACATGAAGAAATGCTCAACATCACTAATCATCAGAGAGATGTAAATTAAAACAACAATGAGGTATCACCTCACACCTGTCAGAATGGTCGCCATCAACAAATCATCAAACAAGTGTTGGGGAGGGTGTGGAGAAAAGGGGATTCTAGTACACTGCTGGTGGGAATGCAGACTGGTGCAGCCACTATGGAAAACAATATGGTGTTTCCTCAAAAAATTAAAAATGGAACTGCCATTTGACCCAGTGGTTCCACTTCTTGGAATGTGTCCTAAGAATCCTGAAACCCCAATCAGAAAGAATATATGTACCCCCATGTTCATAGCAGCACTATTTACAATAGCTAAGAGCTGGAAACAGCCCAAGTGCCCATCAGTAGATGAGAGGATAAAAAAGCTGTGGTACATATATACACAATGGAACACTATGCAGCTAAAGGAGAGATCTCTTACCCTTTGAGGCTCATGGAGGGACCTGGAGAGTGTTATGCCAAGCAAAATAAGCCAGTCAGAGAAAGACAAGTAATACATGATCTCACTTATTTGTGGAACATAATGAACAAAATAAAACGTTGACCAAAATAGATCCAGAATCATGGAAGTAGGGAATAGACTGACAAACCTCAGAGGGATGAGGGGTGGGAGGGGTGGGAAGAGATAAATCAAAGAACTTATATGCATGTATGCACAACCAATAGACAAGGACATTAGGCTGAGGTAGACTCCTTGCAATGTATACGTATAAAACTATGTCATATTTTATTTATTCATTCCTCAATTGATGGGAATCATATGTTGTTTCTAACATTTTGCCAGTAATATGACAGAGCAATAAACATATAAAAAATATATATATATATAAATTTCCATGGAAGTGTATCTAGAGTTAGAATTTCTGTATCCTAGATTTTATTTTCAAATTTACTGTATATGCTGTCATAATACTTAAAATTTTTTTTTATTTATCTTTATTGTTGAGAGTATTATAGATGTCCTCCATTTTCCCCCACTGCCCCCCTCCGCCCAGTTTCTGCCCCACCCTAGTCTTCACCACACTATTGTCTGTGTCCATGGGTTATGCATATATGCATATAAGTCCTTTGGTCAATCTCTGCCCACCCCCTCACCCCCACTTCCCTCTGAGATCCATCAATCTGTGCCGTGTTTCCTCTAGACCAAGTTTGTTCATCGGTTTATTTTATTCATTAGATTTCACATATAAGTGAGGTTATGTGATACGTGTCCTTCTCTGACTGGTTTATTTCACTTAGCAAAATACTCTCCGAGTTCCTCCATGCCCACTCAAGTTTTCAAATCCCACCATCAGTAAACGAAGGTTTTCTTCTCTGATGTCTTCGCCAACACTTTAAAACAAAATCCTCACCCTACGATATGCACTTTTTAAAAAAAAAAGTATGTTTTTATTAATTTGTTTAGAGAGAGGAGAAGGGAAAGAGATGATAGACACATCATTGTGAGAGAGACACACTGATTGGTTGCCTCCTGCACGCCCCCTACTGGGGATTGAGCCCGCAACCCAGGCACAGTGCTCTTGACCAGGAATCGAACCCGAGACCCTTTGTTGTGCCGGCCGACACTGTAACCACTGAGCCACACCGGCCAGGGCGAGTTGCTGTCTTTTTTGAGGTTCTCTTTTCTCATCTATAAAATAAGAGTAATAATAGTACTTTTCTGTTACATTGCTGTGAGGATTAAACGGGTTGATTTACATAAAGCTGTGAGGAGAAGAGCTGACCACAGCGTAAATATTCAGCATTAAATGAGTTAGTTCATGTGAAGAGCTTAAAAGGATGGCTAGCACGTAACAGGAAAGTTCCCACTGCCTCACACCCCACAGTGACTCATTCGGTCAGTTCCACAGGTTCGGGTTCTTCTATCATGTGCGACTGCGCAGGTCCAGCCAATGCTGCCATCAGGGAGAAAAGCTTTTTTTTTACCCAAAGAAGGTGCATGGGCAGAGTGAGGGGGAAGAGAGGCGATGTGCTGGGCAGATGAAGCTGCTTAGCCACTGTAGTCCATTCCCATAGCACCTACAGCCTTCTGCCGGCGTTTCTCTTATGTGTATGGACATACACATAACAGAGCTGGAGTGGGGTGAGACGTCCTGAGGAAAGGCGCTACGGTGGTGTGGTCACTGTTTCCATAGCTGACCCCCTGGCCCACAGTTCAATGCCTAGATCGAGGTAAGCCTAACACCCCTATTGGTGGAATGAAATGAGGGACAAAGGCAAGGGTTGTTCTGACTCTTTACAGAAACTGGTCACATCAGACTGTCTTCTTTCTGTTCTATCAGCTCTGTCAGTTGTGTGTGTGTGGAGGGGGGACACGTGCATTTATAAGTATATTGATGCCCCCCCCCCCCGGTTTTATCGAGATACGGTTGACACACAGCAGTGTATAATTTTAAGGTGTACAACATAATGACTTGATACATGTATATATGGTGAAATGTGTACCAGAACCAGTTTAGTTGACATCCATCACCTCACACAGTTACACGTCTCCTCCCTTGTGATGAGAACTTTTAAGGTCTACTCTCTTGGCTCCTTTCCGTGTCGGTGTTCAATCTGTGCCCTTTTGAAAGCTGTGAGCATACACGGATTCCCTCCTTGAATGGGCTGCGTGGTGCCCGCTGGCCCGGATATGGAGTCCAAGCAGCGTCCCTTGCTTTTCGGGGCCCCATGCCTTCCAGCTCCATCTGCTGCCATAGACTCTTGGAGGCCATGAGCTCTGTCCACTCCAGATTTTAGGCGTGCGTGACCAGAAGTGGCCATGCATGGGGTAGCATGCCACAGGGCTTGGACACAGACCGACCCCTCTGTCTGGAATGCCTTCCCTCCTGCCTCAGCACGGTGGGCTGCTACTCATCTTTCAGAGCTCACCTCTGGGGTTTCCCCTGTGCAGCCGCACTGGCTTCCTGCCAGGAGCCCTTAGTAGCTGCGTCCTCCTTTGCAGAGGAAGTGGGACTCTGGTCTCTGCTACAGTCTCCTCCTGGTTGCTCACGTGCCTCTGCCCTCGCCATTTAGCCCTGTGTGGTCTCTCTGTCCCACAACGCACACTGCTCACCTTTTCTCACCCCACCCCACAGCTCCAACAGCGACACTCACTGCTCACTTATGACCTTGCTTGTCCTTAGTCCCCCGCGCCAAGCACTTGATAAGGCTTCCATGAACACTAGCTGATGAACCTCACTCTAGAGAGAGTTCACGTTGGGCTTCTGTTTTGAACGTGGGCGTGCATTCCTTGCCCCATGCTGGGCACCTCAGCACCTGGAGGGCAGAGCAGAGAGCAAACAGGCGCCTGGCTCTGGACCAGGCCAGGTCGCCAGCCCTTGGCTGGGCTTCCCTCGGGGTGTCGTTGGAGACAGCCCTGTGGACAGGGTGCTCTTGGTGCCTCCACTTCCAGGCTGCCTTTACTAAAGCTGGGAGAGTGGGAGGAACTGGAGGGTTGAAGAACCCCAGGTCCCTAGTTCTCCCATAGTCTGCAGCAGAGGCAGGGTTTCCAGCCCAGCCTGTGTGCTCCGCAGGACAAGCTGAAAGCCAGCCTGTGTCCCCATGTCTCCCAGACCCCTGTATCCCCACGGAACCGGCTGCATAAGTACTTGTGGCATGGCAATCTGCCTCCATGAATACGTGCCCTTGTGTTATCTACTCCCTCTTCTGCAAGTGTTGCAGAGGAGGGAACGAGGTGGCCAAAGGGAGAGATCTTGGAGGAAATGGGTCAGCAGGCTGCAGGAGGCGCTTGCCCCGCTGGACCCAGCTCCCGCTCCAAAGCAAGGACAGAGAAGGCAGAGCCCTTTCCTTGGCGGCGGCCGTGTTGCAGAGAGTGCGCCACGTTGAGGTGGGAAGAGCCCCCGAATGTGGGAAGAACCCCAATGGGGGAAGAAGAACCCCGAATGTGGGAAGAACCCCGAATGGGGGAAGAACCCCTGAGTGTGAGAAGAACATTTTGCTTGGCTCTGTTCGGGCCGGGCAATTGTATTCCAAGGGCACCCACCTCCTGCTACAATGTAGTTGATTCAATCACTCGATGTTCTTTGGGGAGGGAGGAGGGGGGGCGGGGGGAGGGAGGGACGACAGGAAACTCCCTACGCCTAACCTGCATCTCCTCAGTTCACCGTGCAGCCCTCTCCCTGCTCCTCGGTAACTGTGTAGGCGACCCAGAGGCTGAAGACTCACACGCGCGTCACCCCCAGCCCCGGCTTCCCGGTCCCGCCTCCTCCCGCCGCCCGCGGCCCCGCAGCCCCGCAGCCCCGCAGCCCGCGCCCCGCGGCCCCGCAGCCCCGCAGCCCGCGCCCCGCAGCAGCCACAAGGGGAACCAAAGAGACAGAAGCCTTCCCAGCTGCCCGGACCACAGCCGCCAACACCTCCTGCCCCCCACCACGCGCCGCCCGCCCGCGCGCGGGTCCACGGTGAGCGGCGGCTGCAGCGGCGGCGACTCGCAGCGGCGCGCTCCTGCCCGCGCTCGCCACCCGGGGCCCGGGCACCGCCGGGGCTGCCCCCGCGCCCCGCCGCGCTCGCGCCCCCGCCCGGGGCCGGCGCCCCCGCGCCCCGCCGTCTCCCGCCTGCGCGAGCCCCAGCCTGCGGGAGGGAGGTCGCGGCAGCGGCCCGGCAGCACCGGCGACCGTGGCGACAGCTGCGGCAGTGGCGGCGGCGGCGGCGGCGGCCGAGGCTGCGGCGGCGACCGTGGCAGAGGCGGTGGCGGAGGCCTCCGTGGCGGAGGCGGAAGCAGAGGTGGAGACTGAGGCGGAGGCCGCGGCCTCGGGACAGGCGGCAGTGGCGGAGGCCATCCTGGCGGAGGCGGCGGCCGCCCTGGCCGCGGAGGGGGCGGCGGCCGCGGCGGGGACAGAGGCCGGAGGCGCGGCGGCGGCGGCGGCGGAGGCGGCGGCGCCCCCCGCGCGGGCGGCGGGCGGTGCGGAGGAGCAGGCGGCGGCGGCGGCGGCGGCCCCCGCAGACGCGGACGCGGCCGGGGGTCCCGAGGACAGCCCCGACTTCCCGATGGCCTCGCTGTACGTGGGAGACCTGCACCCCGAGGTGACGGAGGCGATGCTGTACGAGAAGTTCAGCCCGGCGGGGCCTATCCTCTCCATCCGCATCTGCAGAGACAAGATCACCCGCCGCTCCCTGGGCTACGCGTACGTCAACTACCAGCAACCGGTGGACGCCAAGCGGGCCCTGGAGACCCTGAACTTCGATGTCATCAAGGGCAGGCCCGTGCGCATCATGTGGTCGCAGCGGGACCCCTCGCTGCGCAAGAGCGGGGTGGGCAACGTGTTCATCAAGAACCTGGGCAAGACCATCGACAACAAGGCGCTGTACAACATCTTCTCGGCCTTCGGCAACATCCTGTCCTGCAAGGTGGCCTGCGACGAAAAGGGGCCCAAGGGCTACGGCTTCGTGCACTTCCAGAAGCAGGAGTCGGCCGAGCGGGCCATCGACGCGATGAACGGCATGTTCCTGAACTACCGCAAAATCTTCGTGGGCAGGTTCAAGTCGCACAAAGAACGAGAGGCCGAGAGGGGAGCCTGGGCCAGGCAGTCCACCAGCGCGGGCGTCAAGGATTTCGACGAGGACACCGACGACGAAGCCACCTTCCGATGAAGACGGGCCCGGAGCGAGCCAGCCAGCAGAGCCAGCCTTGGCTCCCACCCGGTTTACAACCCCTCTTTGCCCCCAGCCCACCAGCAGTGTATTGTATGGGGAGTGCAGGTGTCTCTCTCTCCACCTTCTCTCCCCTCTCCCTCTCTGTCTCATCTCTGTCTCTGTCCCTCTCTCTTCTCTCTCGCCCCCTCCTCTCCTCTGCTCTGCTCTGCTCTCTCCTCTCTCTCTCTCTCTGTCTCATCTCTGTCTCTGTCCCTCTCTCTTCTCTCTCGCCCCCCTCCTCTGCTCTGCTCTGCTCTCTGCTCTCTCCTCTCTCCCTCTCTGTCTCATCTCTGTCTCTCTCCCAATCTCTTCTCTCTCGCCCCCTCTCGTCTCCTCTGCTCTGCTCTCTCCTCTCTCCCTCCCTCTCTGTCTCATCTCTGTCTCTCTCTTCTCTCTCGCCCCCCTCCTCTGCTCTGCTCTCTCCTCTCTCCTCTCTCCCTCTCTGTCTCTCTCTTCTCTCTCGCCCCCCTCTCCTCTGCTCTCTCCTCTCTCTCTCCTTCCCTTCTCCTCTTCTATCTTCTCCCACTCTCTCTCTCTCCCCTCTCTGTCCCTCGCTCTCTCTTCTCTCCCCTCCCCTCCCCCTTCCTCCCCTCCCCTTTCCTCTCCCCTCTCTCTGTCTCAGCTTTCTCTTTCCTTCTCTCTCCTCCTCCTCTCTCTCTCTCCCTCCCTCCCCCCCTATGTTTCCTCCCTCTCTCCTCTCCCCCCTCCCCCTCCCCCTCCCCCTCCCCCTCCTTTCACCCTCTAGTCCATTCTTCCCTTGGCTCTCCCTGGACACCCCCCAAGGGCATTGTGAATACTCTTGCTAATCTGTGCCACTTGATCAATTAGAGGCTGCCTCTTCTCCTCCTGGTTTGGTTTAAAAAGCACTTTCTCGCTTTGTTGACTGTACAGGTGATAACGATTGCATGGTAGCAACATCAGAAAGGAGAAGGAAATCACATGAGGGAAAACCAAGAGAGTAATTGCTCCCCATGACCCTGCTGCCCAGAGACAACCACTTTTACCCCTGTGGTGTGCGGGTTTTCCAGCCTCTCTCCCCCCCACCCCCACCTCCCGGCCCGTGCTCACCCCCACCTCGCCTTCCCCTTAACACACTGTTATCCAATGGTTCGTGTGTGTGGTGTTTCTTCACCTGCTTTTTCAGAAACTGAAACCAAACAAAAATCAACCCACTGAACTTCTTTCCGTGTTATTCAACAGGCTTCCGAAACGTCGTCTTCAGTGCTGCAGAGTGTGCCCACGGACCTTACCATGTCTGTGATCACTCGCGGTTGTTGGACGTTCGGGTGGTGCCTAGTCCCTTCCCTAGGTTTGAGCCCGACGCTGACTTCTCTGACGAGTGACTCCTTCACTGGCAAGCCAAATCTTCGCTGGCATACTGAGCAGTCATCTTAACTGTGCACTCGAAGGATCCACACATGGACATTTTACACTTTTCTGGTGTGTTGCCAAATGGCCCCTTCCCAAGTATTGTACCCATTTGCATTCATGCCAGCCAGTGCAGCCAGTAGAAAAGAGTATGCCCATTTCCCCTGCATAGTCTCCAGGCCACTGTACTTGGGTGTGTGTGTGTGTGTGTGGTGTGTGTGTGTGTGTGTGTGCTGGCCAGCTTGATGGGCTGCAAATGGCATTTTGCTGTCCTTGGTTGTTTTGCTGGATTTACATAATGTTGATCCCCTCCTCCCCCTGTGCCTACTTCCTGCCATTTTCCCCATTGCCAAAAAAACAACTCAGTGTCATTGCGGAAAACAAATTCACAAAGCAGACAAGTTAGCAGAAGAAAACTGATGTCACTAGTAATCAATCTTCCTGACCATCCATGCCTTCCTGAATCATTTTCATCTGCACCTGTCTAATATTTTCCAAGAACTACCTGAAACATTTTGGCTGTACCTCTCTAGTATTTTTCTTATGGAAATATCATATATGTATATAATAGTGTACATGTTTTTATATCTGCTTTTCACACATAAATGTGTATGTGCATATATACACACATACATACTCTTGAACTTCATTTTATGTTATTAAAGACACCTTTAAAATATTTTCTTTGGCTGTTACTATTTCATTTAATTGATGGCTCAGTGGACAGATAGACACATGTACATATATATCCATCTCTATGTATCTGTGTTTGTGTGTGTGTATCTTCCTGCATCTAAGTTATTGGTAGTTTTTTCTTTATCCAAGCAAAGCTCCCCAAGTACATCCTAGGGCCCAAATCTTGGTGTCTTTCAAGATTACTTCCTGAGCCAACATCGCTAAAAGAAAAAGTACAGTGTCAAAGGATATGGTCAATTTGGCAGGGAAAGTAATTTCAAGTGGTTTCTCTAAGGAAAGGATATGTTTATCTTTGCAAGGTGGACCAGTATTTTAACTGTACCTGAATACCTGTATTATTTTCTTCACTTTGTATTACAATTATTCGTGCATTTTCTCAATATTTTATCTGGGAAACAGGAGTTTTTTGTTTTTTATTTAATTTAAACATATTCCATACAAATTGTACTTGATTATAATAGAAAATATTTTGAAATTATTCATGTAACAAAAGTCAGCATCATTATACAACTCCTAATACCAGTAATTGACAAAATACAATTTTAGTAAATAGATCTACATACCTTTATATTGATAATCATGTATGCATCACTTCATTGCAGGGTATTTTCACTATTACTGTTCTCTGGGACCATATTTCTAAATCATTAAATATATTATTTTAATTATGTTGTTTAATAATATTCCATCACAGGGATGAACAATTTTTAAAACTAAGCTTCCTAGTGATATGTTTTCAATGGTTCTGATTTTTTGTATGTAATATCAATTGTATGATGAACAGCTCTGTATCTAAATGTCTTGGGATATTTTATTGCTTTCTATTCCTTCATCCTCATCATGGGAGAAAGCGCCTGGACTCCCACCTCCTTCAAAGCTGCTTGCCGCATCCAACTGCTGCACACCTTGGTCAGAGTTGCCTTCTTTCTTCCCGGCCACAGGTATCCTTGCACATAGAATATGATTTCATAAAGTACAGGCAGCTGAAAGACGCTTCACTTATTCCTTTTGATTAGCACTGGCATACAGGCCAAAGAAGAGACTTACACTATGAGCCTCTGATGATTCAATCTTGTCTCATTTTCATCCCACCTCCTACTTAGCACAGGCACAAGAACTGGGAGAGAAATTTTACAAGGGTTTGTGTCCTTTATGATGAGTGACATTCCCACCCTGTGCACTCCCATCCCACTTTACCCCTTCCATCCAATGAGTGAGCACATGCAAACACACACACACACACACACACACACACACACACACAGAACCAGTAGGACTGTGGATGTGTGCACATGCGGAATGGGGGTGAATGGAGTTTTTGTTGTCTGAAATCACCTTGGGAACAGATCAACAAATAGAGCTTTTGTGTGGTTTTTAAAAGCAAGGATCATTTAATTTTAGACATCCTTTTGTCTTTTACTTTTAAAAACTATATTATCTGGCAAAGAATTCAGAGAAAATACATTTCAGAAATGTGTCCCACATAAAATTAGTCTTTATATATCTTTCCTTTTCGTTGATTTTTAGAGGCAAGAAGAAATAGAGAAACATCAATGTGAGAGAGAAACATCAATCAATTGCCTCTCATACGTGCCTTGAACCCACAACCTGGGTATGTGCCATGAACTGGAATCAAGCCCAACAACTTTTGTTGTAGGAAACAACTTTCCAACCTGGCCAGGGCTATTTTTCTTTTTAAGAGTTTCTCTGCTTTAAAATAATCAGCTATATGTTGCATGTATCTGTGGTAACTGAAGAATCAAATCTGTTACATACCTATGGATGACATATACTTTTATGTGATTTTTGTTTTCTGTATTTTGTGTGTTTTTTCTGGTTTCCAAATATTTTAATTTCATGATGCATTTATTGGCCAGTGATCAAATGGCTTGTGATGAGTGTTGAGTTTGGTGTACACAGTTATAAGGTTAATGAGTGTCTTGGGAGGGTGAGGGAATAACACCGTAGTCACTGTATTTTCATCTTTACTGACCAGGTTCATCAGTAAGTTAAGTACTTGCCTCTAAACTTGCCACTTAGCCCTTCTTGATACTTGAAAAAATCTTGAGGAGTCTGTTATTAAATAGAAAGTATGAGCTTTCAGTTTTTGCTATTAATAATTTAATAAGAATTTACAACCTTATTTTATACCACAGTTTTGAGTATTTTACAAATACAAACTTAATAATAAAGATAGATGCACCTATCAGGACCTATGTGTTATACATTTTTATAAGCACTTTATAAAAATCAATTCAAACTTCATAATAATCTATGAGGTAATTCACAATAATTACCCTATCTTTCAAGATATGAAAACTGAGACACATAGCCCAGCCAGTGTGGCTCAGTGGATTCAGCGTTGTCTCAGGGACTGAGAGGTCCTGGTTTGATTCCTAGTCAGGGTGCATGCCCGGGTTGCAGGCTAGATCCCCAGTAGGGGCGTGCAGGAGGCAGCCGATTAATGTTCGCTCTCACGTCATGTTTCTCTCTTTCATTTGTTTAGAAAATGAAAACAGACACATAAAGTAAGTTGTATAAGGTCACCCAACTAATAAGTTACTGAATTGGAATCTGAATCCAGGCAACCTGGCTCTCTACCATATGATATATAATACTACATGCTGTATCTTGCACTATAAATTATGTACTCCAAAATGGAATTTTATTATATTTACATATTTTAGTATATTCCTTAAAAGTACCAAAACTTTGTGGAATATAATGAACAAGACAAACTGATGAACAAAATAGACCCAGAGACATAGAAGTAGGATACAGACCGACAATCCTCAGAAGAGGGGGTCGTGGGGGGAGGGAAGGGATAAACCACAGAACTTATATGCATGTACACATAACTGATGTACATAGACAACAATGCTGGGGATGGGGTGGGGGAGGTAGGGAGCAGGGTGTGAATGGGGAAAAAAGGAGAAAAATCTGTAACAAAAATAAATTAATTAAAAAAATACCAGAACTTGAACAAAGCCCAACAATCACCTCAACAATTCCTCCAGCACTGTATGAATATTTTTAAAAGAACAATTGCAAAAAGAATTAAGGTAAAATTCTATTTGTAGTTACACTTGTGCCCTAAACTCTAGTACAGGCCTCCCTGTTATGTGGGCTGAAGCTAACTAACGGCCCACCCTTAACGTCTAAAGGGTCTTTACACTAGTCTAAACCCAAGTCAAATGTACTGCCATCATGCCACAAGCTGTGGGGAAAATGACACTCTCAAGTCACATCTCTGAGAAGGGGTGAAAGAAAAAGAAATCTAAAAAGCAGTCCCTGACATCAGGAAGCTGGCCTGATATTCATAGCTAGGCCGTGCTATTCTCTTATTGGACATAAACCATCTCACAGAACCTCAGACCAGATTCCTCTGGGACTACAATTAAATGAGACAAAGCAAGGCCACTTAATTTTGCCTAAGCATAGACAAAAACAAGGTCACTCTGCCAACCAAAAAATACCAACGTCTTGCCATTCTAGCTAAAATTAGTGACTACAACCTTTTTACCAATTACAGCCTTATTCTTGTTCTAGTCTCTTCTCCCCATAAAGATTTATTGAGCTGCTCATTATAAAATGTTTCCTACAACATAGAGTAAACCTCCAATCACACAACCAAAGCCCAAATCCTGCAATATGCTTTTATCACCCACTTACTGATGCATGTTCTGCCTCACAGCAGTAATGAATATACCTAATTTGTTCAACTACGGGTGTGTCCCTGATGATTTTGGCTGGAGGCCATTTACATGAGAGACACAGCAAAGGGGATTGGCCTGCCCTTATAGAAAGCCCAGGGCAGTTTTCCTGCTCTATCTCATGCAGGCAAGAGAAAGGGACAGGAGGGACTTCATGATGCCTGGCTCTCCTCCATGAAACAGCAGGAAAGATACACCCATGTTCCTGACTTTTTAATGCGCAGTAAAAGTTAACACAATTAAAGGGGGCCTAATCTTTCTGTGTAAGAAAGGTTTAGGGAGTCAGGAATTTAATAGAGGTCGAGATTAACAGTGATGAAAAGTGTGAAAAAGTCTACATTTACTAAGTATACGTCGGAAGTATTTCCATATTTATGTTCCCCTACAATATTAACTTGTCTCTGTTTCCCTATACACTGTCAACTATTGCAACCCCAGGGAAAAGCAAGTGAGCATCTACTATTGTACCTGGGAGAAAGATACATTATGTCCAGACAAGAAGAGGAAAAAGCCCATACCTTCCTGCACTGTTGATTGCAGAGAAATGAGACAGAGGTAAGAACAGCAAGCAATGTTATAAATTTACCTCTTTGAGCCAAAATCTGAAGGAGTGAGCATGTTCAATAGTAGAAAAATAAGTCACAAGCAGGGGAGTTTGTGTTCGACTTTCATTTTATAATTCTGTGGGGTCACATCACAACCACGTGGGATGAAGAGTGCATAGACAGCCATAACAAGGTAGAGTTATCCCTTCCTACGCACTCTCAGCTCTCACAAGGTATGGAAGAGATTACGAAGTTCCTCATTGGATTAAGAACCGAAGCTTGGTAGTCACCGGGATGTAAAGTACACCATAGTGAATATAGTCAATGATATTGTATTAACTGTGTATGGTGCCAGGTGGGTACTGAAAATAAGGGGAAACACTTTGTAAAGTATGATTGTCTAACCACCATGTTATACACCAGAAACTAATAACTAATATTAATATTGAATGTCAATGGTAATTGACACATTAAAAATTAATTAAAAACCACATAGACACACACACAAAGAAGTTCTCTGTTGTCGCAGAGGGATAGATGTGACTTTCACAGAGTCTGCCAAAGGGGAAAGTCAAATCTCTGGGTTTCCACACCTGAGGAAGGCAAAGTAAGTTCTGAAACGAAGTCAGCTCTCTGATCAACCATATCTCATCCCCAGTCAGGGTATGCTCCCCCACCCCACCCCATGCCATAAAGCATAAGCCCCTATACATCCAGATAACATTGTGGAAGGGTAGGTAAATCTGAAATAAAGACTAACACACAAGACCTTGTTGCTTATACAGAGTGTTTAAACTACTAAATAGCAGTGAGTTACTGCATTGGTTAAATTTGAGATTTTTTGTTTCCCTGCAATCCTGGGTGATAGAGGTGGACCCAGGATTAAAACTAGATCAGTTAGCCCTGGCTGGTTTGGCTCAGTGGTTAAGGCATAGGCTCCTGAACCGGAGAGTCCTGGGTTCGATTCCTAGTCAAGGGTGCATGTCTGGGTTGCCTATTTGATCCCCATCCTTGGTTGGGGTCATGTGGGAGACAACCAATCAATGTATCTCTCTCACATAAATATTTTTCTCTCTCCCTCCCTTCCTCCCTTTCACTCTACCTAAAAATTATGGGAAAATATCCTTGGGTGAGGATTAACAACAACAACAAAAAAGACTAGATCAGTTAAAAACAATAAAAAAGTGACAGGTTCTTTGCACATCTAAGTATAGTGTTAGTAAATTTGCATGCATATGTACCTATTGAAAAATAATAGTAAAAAATAAATCAAAACATTAGCAGTGCTTATCTTTGTGGAGTGGGAATATACATTTTAGTTTTAATTAATCTTTTTTTTTTATTTTCCAATGTCTCCCAATGACCATATTACTTTTATAACTAGAAAAAATATCAATTTTAAAACATAAAACACTGACATTTTTATTCATTTTATTTTGCAGTGAAAGAACAGAAAAGTTTTTCAAAATGGTAAAGTGATCACTTTCAATGAATTATTAAATGTAGTATAAGAAATAAGTTATACACTGTAATTATAGCTTACACAATTACACAGAACAATATGTGGTCATCTTTTAAAAATACTGTGATTGACACTTCACTGATGAACAATAACCTCAATATGACTATTTCACTATTTATTATGATTAAATAATACAAGAGTCTATGAACAAGTTGTTATTAACAATAAATTTGGTTTTGCCTGAAATTCTTAACCATATGCAGGCTTCTTAAGCATTCAAGTTTTAAAATCTACTGCATTTTTATTGCAAAATGAAGCAGGCACAACACAATTAAATCCACTAGCTAAAGGACTAAGAAAACAAAAATATACAAACAACAAGAGGAAAACAACCTTGGGTGGGTTCTCCAAGATTTTCTTTCCAAATAAGTTTTTATCTCATTTAGCAGTCTGGATATTATTCACAGCCACAGATTAATAGCTATGTCACAAGAAGATTTCAGAAGGATTAAAATACATCACACTATTTTAATGTCTTAAATACTTTACCACAGTCTACATTTCTTGAAAGCATTCTATTACTGAAATGCAAGGACAAATGAATTATTATTTGAACTTCTTTTATATTTCTGAGACATATGCTTTAACTAACACTATAAGAAAAATTCAGAACACAAGACTAATTAACTTCTTTAATTTTGAGCAGATATAAGGCTGTTAATTTCAGAGCCATGTAGACTCTGCCTTAGCGGTCAATGTCTTCTACCATTGCCTCAAGATTTTTGCAACAGGCTTTAACCTCCTCAATTGCAGCCATCCAATTATCATAAATAATTTTGTCATAAATTGCATCATTAACTTCCTTAACTACCCCCTCCTGCTGAGATTCAATTGCATCACCTGAGAAAAATAATACTGATCTTGGGATTATGTAAGTACGTAAATTGTGACCAAGTAAAAAATCATCATTTCCATCCCTTCCATTTGAGCTGATTCCATAAGGAGTAAAGAAATTGAAGAATGAATCTTTGGGAAAATCTTCAGTCACAGTTCGGATTGTTCCCCAGATCCGATGTTTTTGCTTCTTCTTGATGGTTTTCAAAGTGACGTTCTTTCCTTCGTTCCAGTCGATCTCACAGCCTGTGCAATACTCAATTGCAGTTCCCCTATAGGGGTGGGGATCATAATATGCCAGCCGTGACTTCAGCACATAGGTCTTTGTCAACAGCTCATTTTTGAAATATTCATTGGGTTTGAAGTGAAATTCTAGTGTGAAACTGAGAGGCTCACCAGGATCTGAAAGCTTCACTTTAATATCTGTCAGGAGCTTCAGAATAGGCTCATCATATTTCTTAATCAAAGGAGTGAGTGTGTCAACATTTTTTAAGACAGTCAGCCAAAAATCAGGAATTCCTTTAGGATCTTCTTTATTACTTTCCCCAGTAGCCTCGATGTCATCATCATCATCGTCATCGTCGTCGCCATCATCATTCTCCTCCTCTTCCTCAAGAGCATAATCGTAATAATCTTCCTCATAATAATTATCGTCATCCACGTACTGCTGTACCAGACCCTCTTCCTCGTCGTACATCTCCTCCTCATCATAGTCATCATAGTCTGATTTATATTCACATTCCTCTTTTGTAGGTTCATAGATTGCGTTGATGATCTGACGTCTTTTTTCCAACAAGGGCTGATACATTTCAGCAAACTTTCTCTCAATTTCATGAAATTCCCTCAGGAATTTGGATTCTAGGTTCGCAGCTCTAGCTTGAAGCTTTTTGAGGGCTAACACACGGTACTTAACTTTCATAGGAAGACTTTCAACAAAGTCTGTATCTAAAAGATAACCGATACGTCCTTTGGGACGGTCTGGGTCTGAGTCCTCATGAGCATCTTCACCTTTTTCCCCGCCTTCCCCAGGCCCAGCAGCATCTTCACATTTTCCCCCTTCATCCCCAGGCAAAGAGGCGGCTTCCTCACCGTGTTCCCCATCATCTCCAGGCCCAGCTGCGGCATTTTCACCGCGCTCCGGCTGTTTCCCTGGCCCCTCCACCATCACCTTATTACCAGCTTCTTCTTGAACGGATGCTAACAATTCCTTGCCGTCGGCTGACTCGGCCATTTTTCAAAAGACCGTGCACGCCTAATGTGGCTACCTCCAAGATCAGGAGATCTGAGCTCCGCAGGGAAAGACTCACCGGAATATCAGAAGCGGCAGTGACTGTGGCAGAGGTGGACCTAGCGGTAGCGGCCAGACTGCGAAAGCAACGGTCGAGGCTGCTGCTGCCGGGATGAAAGCGGTGCTGAGGCTGTGCGAACCGAACAGAGGCTGAGGTGGCCTGGGCTTGCGTGCAGAGGATGGCGAGGGGCGATGTGACCCGTCCTGCAGGACCGGGCCAGAGACTGCAGAGAGCTGCAGTGGGTAGACCTCCGCAGAGACTGATTCAAAAAAAACAACAACCCAACAATGGTGCTGCAATATGACAACGCAGCTGCCTCTTAGCTAGATTTTCTGGTGCCAATAGCTTGCTGCGTCACTCCCTCCCTCCCCCGCAACTCTGCTCTAGTCTCATTTGCTGGACTGTCGTAATTGACAAACCCTGAGCCAATAAATTACTAGATCTATCAAGTTTTCCAACTCCACTCACCTTCCGAGAATATGGCTGATTCATTTACCTCTCCCCTTATCCTCGCACCCCTCCTCCGAATTTTCCGGAAAACAATGTTTTATTAGTTTATCCTTTCAATTTTCAACTGGCATTAGACTTTCATCATTTCAAAAGAGCTAAGAGAAAATTGCAACTAACAGAAGGTGAAAGGGTTAAGCAAAAAAACCCATATAATCACATACAACAGACTGGTGATAGCCAGAGGAAATGGGGGTGGGGTAGATGGAGCTGGGCCAAGACCTTGGGGAGATGGGCGCACCAAGCATTGTGCAGACGATGTTTACTTGGGTTATACACTTGAAGCCTGTACAGTTTTGTTCACCAGTGTCACCCCTATGCATTCAATTTAAAAATATAAAAAACATAAGATAATAAATAAAATGTTGGACAACCGGAGAGAACAAGGCATCCCCCACCCTAACTCTATCCCTTTGATCTTAGCCCTGGGCTCTGTAAAGGACAGTGGTGGCTGCTGGAGGAACTGATAAAGAGACGTTAGAAGGAAAACACTAAAAAATTAACAGCGCTGGTCTCAGGGTGGTGTTACTGTCAGTGATTTAAATACCCTATACTCTGTTTTTCTGGGTGGGTGGCAGGCGAAAGTATGTGTGTGTGTGTGTGTGTGTGTGTGTGTGAGAGAGAGAGAGAGAGAGAGAGAGAGAGAGAGCGAGAGAGAGATTAAATAGGGGTTAGGGTGAAAGAGGTCCTGTGATGAAGAGTCAAAGTGCTGTATTCAACTGTATCACAAGTGAACACAATAAAGAAGTGAACAATAAAAATAAATATATGTAATAAAATTTAAAAAGTGAAGACTATAAACCAGTTGCCTAGCTTATCAGTAACCCAGTACTAATACTGACTTGCCACTTCCTCTTTTTTGTTGCTGTCTTTAAAGCTCTAAGGAACTTTAAAAAGAAGGGTTCAAATATAAAGTAATGCTTCTTATAAATATCATAACATTTGCTTGACACTTTTGACTTATTGAAAATCATCTAAAGTTCAGCATTAAAGGCATGGTTAAATATATAATAGAGTGTTCCTAAAGTTGGATCCTATGCAGTCATTACAAAGTTTCCTCTGGATAGGAATCATTGGTGATGTTGATTTTGTCCACATTTCTAATGTTGATTATTTATTAATTGAACAATTTTAAACGTTTTAACTATTTTCCAGATTTAAACAATTTGTATTGTGTTACTATTGCAGAGATAAATGCTATTCAGATATTATTGTATATCTTTACAGATTCTTTTATTACACAGCTAAATTTTCCTTTTTAAAATATTTTATCTCTCCCTGGCTGGTTTGGCTCAGCAGTTGGAGCATCAGCCTGCAGACCAGAGAGTCCCAGATTCGGTTCCTGCTAGGGTCACATACCCCCCCCAAAAAAGTATATGCTTAAATTATTTTATCTCTGTGAACCTGGAAGTAGGTTAGACTGACAATCCTCAGAAGAAGGGGTGGGGCGTAGGGAAGAGAAAAACCACAGAATTTATATGCATGTACCCATAACCGATGGACATGGACAACAAAGCTAGGGACTGGGTAGGGGGGGATGGGGAGGAGGGTGTCAACGGGGGGGGGGAGTAGAAACATCTGTAACAAAAGTAATAAAAAATTTTATTTTATATCTGTGTAATATATACTGTTACAGTATTTACAAAATTCAATTTTCAGGCTCATGTGCCATTCTGGTAGTTCCATAGTTATGTGTCCCCTGAATTCCAAATTTTGTTGATTTATTTGTTGGTTCTGTAGTTGTACCGTTTCTTGTAATTTTCTGATTTTAAATACAAGTATGCTCGCCCCGCTGCTCTGACTCAGGGGTTGAGCATCTATCAACCCATGCTCCAAGCGGTCCACGGTTAGATTCCCAGTCAGGACACATGCCCAGATCGTAGACTAAATACCCAATAGGAGGCATGCAGGAGATGGCCAATCAATGTTCTCTCTCATCGATGTTTCTATCTCTCCATCTCTCTTCTCTCTCTAAAAAAAAAAATCAATAAAGAAAAAATTTTAATACAATATATGCTCTTTTTTTATTTTACTTTGGAAAAATGAGAAAATTTTTAGAGTATAACAGAAATCACTACCAATCTCACAACCCTGAGAGAACAAACATGTACATTTTGATACTCTTAATCTAAATTGTTTATATGTTATATTTAGGCTGGGGTTTTTAAAAATAAAAGTGGATAGACTCTTTTAAAAACTTTTTTCTCTTATTAAAATATTCCACTGTCCTTAAATAGTTTCCAATAGTGTAATTTTTTAAAACTCTTTTGCTTTTAAATATATTATGTTGCTAAACTAAACTACTAAAAGACAAAGTATGTTCATCCCATTTTAAGGCTGAAGTATCTTTCATCATCATACATCATTCACAAAAGCCACAAAGGAAATTATGTGTTTCATTACATAAAACAAAAGTATACCAAAAGCATAGGTAACAAAAGAAAAAAACAGATAAATAGAATTTCTTCAAATTAGAAACATTTTTGCATCAAAGGATAGTATTAACAGAGTTAAAAGGCAACCCATGATTAAATGGATGAAAATATTTGCAAATCATATATCTAATAGAGGATTAATATCCAGAATATATTAAAGATTCCTACAACTCAACAAAAATAAGGAAAAAAAATAATTTAATAATTGGCATAGGACTTGAATAGACAATTCTTCAAAGAAGAGATGCAAATAACATGTGAAAAAATACTGGCCATCAATAATTAAGAAAATGCAAATCAAAACCACACTGAGATACCACTTCTCATCCATTAAAATAGCTACTATCAAAAAATGAAAACAGAACATAACAAGTGTCTGTGAGGATGTGGAGAAATTTGAAACTTTATGCATCGCTGAGGAGTGTCAAATGATGCAGACACTGTAGAAAACAGTATGAATTACCATATAATCCAGCAATTTCACCTCTGGGTGTATAACCAAAGGAATTGAAGGCAGAGTCTCGAAGATATTTTTTCAGCCATGTTTATAGCATTTTCCAATAATCAAAAGGTGGAAACAACCCAAATGTCCATTGACAAAGAAACGAATAACAAGCAGAATTATATATATAATATACATATAGGAATTATATTTTGGCATTTATTTATTTATTTCAGTTACAGTTTACATTCAATATTATATTAGTTTCAAGTGTACAGCATGGTGATTGGACAATCATATGCTTTACAAAGTGTCCCCCCGATATTTCCAGTACCATCCTGGACATTCTGACACATGTTACAACATAGATGAACCTTGCAGACATTATGCTGTCGTATAATCCAGACACAAAAAGGCAGATACTGTATGACTCCACTTATATAATATACTTATAGTTGTCAAATTCATAGAGACAGAATGCAGAATGGTGGCTGCCAGGATCTGGAAGCAGATGAGAATAGGAGTTTTTGTTTAATGGGTATAGAGTTTTGGTTTTAAAAAGTGAAAATATTCTCCATGTGCATTATGATCACACAATAATGTGATTGTACTTAATGCCACTGAACTGTACATCTAAACCTTGTTAAAATGTGCATTCAATAGTATTGTGAATATCCATCTTTACTTCTATGTAGCTATAATGCATCTGTGCACTCATATTCAGTCTTGCCCCTAGAATTGTAACTGTGAGTGAAATAGGGGCAGCAAGTACTCCTCCTGAGCATGTTCTCCACGAGGATTCCTTTTCAATAGTTCTCATGGACTATGTTAACAAGAGAGTTGTTAAGGATATGACAAAAAGCACATTGTCTTTCCCCAGTAAAATGTAAATTTAATAATTTTTTAGCAAGGATTTAGTCTTCCTTATGTACTGCTGTATCTCCTTGCCTGGCTTATAATAGATACTAAAAAAATATTTATTTATATACATTGAGGCAATGAAAACTAATATATAGAAACATTACTGTTCTAAAGACAGAGTAGGTCATTAGAAATACTATCTTTATATGTGCTTACTTAGTTGTAACAACCCAGTGCAGACTCCAAGTTCATCATGGTTATGGTATCTGTCTCTATGAGTCTACTCTCATAAGGGACAGCATCCAGTTGGATGAACTGGTTCTGGTTGAGTTTGTCAAACTGTTTGCCTCATTATTTATAGAATTTAATGTTGAGATATAAAGAAATGGTTGATACTAGCAAGGAGACTCCAATATAGAACACAACACATTCTCAATTATGACAAAACTGGAGTGAAACAATGATATAGGTAATTCAAAAGTTATTTGTATTTGGCTTTAGGATTTGAGCACTTATGTTTGAATATGAAAAGGTTTTGGAATTAAATTAAATTAAGACCAATGGAAAAAGAAATGAAAAGTCCTTAAATTTCCTAACCTACTTCCTGCTAACAGCTACTCTCATGCCCATTTTCACTGTTGAAAGTAAACATAACATCACCCCTCATGAAAAACTAACATTCTACAACAAATATACAAATAATAAATCTTTCTTTCTAGCTAAGAAATAAAATAAAATAAATGATAAAACTGGTTTAAATGGTAATTTTTGTTATGTACATTTTTTAATCCTTACCCGAGGATATTTTTCCATTGATTTTTAGAGTAAAAAACAGGGAGGGAGGAGACAGAGAGAGAAACATCGACTGGTTGCCTCCTGCATGACCCCGACCAGAGCCAGGGACGAACCCGCAACCAACGTATGTGCCCTTAACCAGAATTGAATCTGCTACTCTTTGGTCCGCAGGCCGACACTCTAACTGCTGAGCCAAACGGCCAGGGCTTAAGAAGCATCTTAGAGGATTTGTAGGGTTGACTGGATACTGTCACAACTG